GGTGGCTCAGTCGGTGAAGCGTCTGACTCTTGATTTCAGCTCAGATCATGTTCTCACGGTTCATGAGTTCAAGACCCGTGTCGGGGCTCTGTGCTGACAGCTCAGAGATTCTTGGGATTCTCTCTCTCTCTGTCTTTCTCTCTCTGCCTCTCCCCTGTTCATGCTTTCTCTCTCTCAAAATAAATAAAACTTAAAACAAATATTAATAAAATAAAATGAAAAATAAATAAATAAAATTCTCCCGTCTTAGCACCCACTGTGGGAGGCCCCACAGAAGCATTTTCTGCGTGGCAAACACTATTCCAAGTGTCTCCCAGGCCCTCAGTGATTTACAGCTTGTAACTACGATTATTTCCTCACAGCACAGATAAGAAACCCAAGGCACAGAGAAGTTCAGTGACCAGTCCGAGATCACACAGCAGTGCTAGGCTCAGCTCAACTGGGCATCAAACCCAGACAAGTTGGCTCCTGAATCCATGCTGTGAATCGCCCTGACCTACTCAGCTGGTGTGTAAGAAACAGGTGGAACAGGAATGAAAATGCAGGCATACTTTCTCATGCTATCAGACTTCAGGTGAATTAGGGTTCTTTTTCTTTTTTTTTTTTTTTTAATTTTTTTTTAACGTTTATTTATTTTTGAGAGATACAGAAACAGAGTGCGAGCAGGGGGAAGGGCAGAGAGAGAGGGAGACCCAGAATCCGAAGCAGGCTCCAGGCTCCGAGCTGTCAACACAGAGCCCAACGCGGGGCTTGAACTCACGAACCGTGAGACCATGACCTGAGCCGAAGTCAGACACTTAACCGACTGAGCCACCCAGGCGCCCCAAGGGTTCTTTTTCAAATGGCCCCCGGTTATTATGTGGCCTACCTCATTTAAAGTTCTGAAGTTCACGGCTGTGGGGCTCCACAGGAGCTGGCCATCTTAAACCACAGCCCCCGAATTCTGGAATATTTTAGGTTCTCGATACAGAATGTCAGGGAGTGATAACTGATCCTTTAAGTAGACCCAGAGTTGAATAGTACGCAAACCACTCAAAGGAGCATTAAGGTACAAAATCATGCCTCCATTTAAGTTATGGAATTGAAAGAATGGGCCAGTGTTAATAAATTATTCACGATGCTCATAATAGTGACATCCGGCATGAATAAAACCCTTGGTAATTCACAAAACTGCCTCACAAGTTCACCTTCAGGTCAACGTGATTAGTCAACCAATAAGCACACCCGAGGGGCTCTTGGGGTCTTCGAAGGGGCCACCCTGATTTCACAGACGCGCCCTAGCAGGTGCTCTGGGAGCAAAGCCACCACTCACCTGCAGTTTGCTGAGCATCTGGCCACTCCCTCCACTCTGAAAAACGCTGGACACTTCCAGCAAGGTTTCTGTTAAAGTCTTCAGCTTGTCCAAGAAATGAAAAGTATAATTTGCCTGCAAAGGAAAGCAAACGTGGGTATGTCTCTAGTTCTGCTGGGCCACCTCAGGAAGATTCTTAGGGACTGTGCAGCTACAGCAGGGGAGAGAGGCCACAGGACAGGACTGGCCAGCAGAACAAAGACGTGCCAAGGCCACGGGCAGGCCGACCGACACGTCCCCCCGCCAGGGGACCGGCTCTGGTGCCCTCATCTCTGCAGGTGCGACCCACCTGTTCACCGTGGTGCTCCCAGGATTGAGTTCACAGAGGGGAACGGCCAATGTCCCCAGTACGTACTGGCTAAACAAAATAATGTTTGCCCACATCTCCTCGAAAATAAGCTGTCAGGTAATGTCCATGTATTTGTTCTACAACACCCAGCGCTGTTGAAGATACAGCACAACTGGTCGTATTGGATCATTTATTGCTGCTGGCAGAGCAAATAAACCCAAGATTCGTGTAAAATAGCTTGGAATCATAAAAATCTTGAGTCACTGACCCACAAAAAAAAAAAAAAATGCCCATGTCTTTTTTTTCCCTAAAGATAAAAGGACTCTATCCTAAGAAATGATTTAAATGAAATATAGGGGCGCCTGGGTGGCTCAGTTGGTTAAGCGACCGATTTCAACTCAGTTCATGATCTCACAGTTTGTGGGTTCAAGCCCCGTGTCAGGCTCTGGGCTCACAGTGCAGAGCCCGACTGAGATTCTCTCTCTGCCCCTCCTCCACTTGCTCTCTCTGTCTCTCTCAAAATGAATCAACATTTAAAAACAAATGAATGAAATATAAAGGTATCTCCATGAAAATGTCCATGGAATGTTACTGTATTTTTAATACCGAAAATAGTCTAAGTGCCAAAGAGAAGGCTTAGTACGGAGGGCCTGGGAGAGTCCAACCACACATCCCTGGGGTCACCAGGAGACCCTCCTAATGCCCCAGGTCATCCCAGGTCAGGAGCTGAAAACCAGCCAGCCCAGAAAAGATAGGAAAGCACACTCCCAGCCCAAAGATGGGGCAGGAGCACCCCCCGCAGCACAGCTGGGGTGTCCACAGGTCACGGCCCTGTCCCCCCAGCCCGGCCCGGAGCCCCTCTTCCTGGGACTTGGCTGCCAGCCATGTGAATAGGTGCAGAAACACATCTCACTCTGTCTGCGTGTGGACCTGGGCCACCAGGACTCACACACTTGCTATTGCCTGCCCGCGCTGGGTAAATGCAGTCCTCTGCTTCTGGGGCCTGTGAAGTGATCCTCCTGGTCAAGAGAGGAGGCCAACTATGACTCAGGAGAGAGAAAGGTCTTCGGCTGGAGGTGACTTCATGAAAGAGAGGAGAAAATGTAGGCAATGTCTGCTTCATATTTTCCATATTGTCACGGCTGGTCAAGGAGAGCGGAGAAGGTGGCGATAAGAAGGAGCCGTCTGGGCTAAGGAGCCGCCACCTGAGGGCTGACCACCGGGCGGCTGAACCCAGAACCAGCAGGTGGCAGACGGGCAGTGTTCTGGAACCAACAACAGGGACAGTCTCCACACAGAACCAACCTATGACGCCATCCTGGCCCTCAGAGGGCGGGTGCGAGACAGAGGGGAAGAAAAGTAAAACCAGGATCTAGGACAGATGCTAAAGATCTAAGCCAAAGAGGAGGCAAATCCCAGGAGAGGGAAGGGGCCAGAGCGGGGTCAGGAATCACCATTGGTCACAAACATCCCTGAGTCTGCACGTTTCAGAGCCTTTTTGATAATAAACAAAATCACATACCTCATCAGATCTGGGATTCTAACTGAATGAATATATATGCATCGAGGAGTTCACAATAAACTTCTTTTTTTTATTTTTAAACTATTTATGTTAAAGTTTATTTATTTTGAGAAAGGGGCGGGGAGGCATAGAGAGAGAGGGAGACGGAGATAATCCCAAGCAGACTCCATGCTGTCAGCACAGAGTCCAACACAGGGCTTGAACTCACAAACTGTGAGATCATTTTGGCTCAAACTGAGCCAAAATCAAGAGTCATATGCTTAATCGACTGAGCCACCAGGTGCCCAAGGAGTTCACAAGAAGCTTCTTCAGAAGGAATAAAAAAAAAAATTCATGTCGTTTCAGATAGCTTCTCTGCAAAATTAAAGGTCAGTGGACAATGAAGCACATTCTTTAGTCCTGAGAGAGAGAAACAACATAAACCAAGAATTCCTCCGTCAGCCAGGCTATGATGCAAAGGGGGGAGCCCCAGAAAGCCATCTTCCGACACCCAAGGAGAAAGAACCTCAGCTACCTGTGAACGGTCCCAACAGTCGCTTGAAGACAACCTGAGTACAAGTTAAGTCAACAATATAAGAATAGAAATTTCCCAATACGATCGAAATGGAGATGAGCCATGAAAGCATTCACACAGAGAACTGATTTTAAATAATGGCTAACAAAGTTCTAAGTTTAATCCAGATGCCAACAATGATTCTTGACACTTAAGTGTAACAACCATAAAGTTGTAATAGGAAGGTTATAACTGAAATTAGAACCCCCAGTTGCTAACTTTTACGGAGGTGACTGTCATCATGTTAGAAACCCATAGGGTTTCAGGCTCCCTCGGCGACAGACAGGGTGACGGGCGGGTACAGACGCAAGCAGGCGAACTGGGACTCCCACCCCAGTAAGAAACACAGCATTAACTGTGACAGGTAAGCACATGTTAAAAAGACAGAAGGAAGGGGCGCCTGCCGTGAAGCCTGCGACCCCCGATCTCGGGGTTGTGGGTTCGAGCCCCACATTGGGTGTAGGAATCACGTAAAAATAAAATCTTTAAAAAAAAAAAAAAAAAAAAAACAGAAGGGAGAAAAACAGATTCCTTTGGCAAAAGAGAGGAAAAAAGAAAACCACAAGGACAAGCATAAATTTTAAAACTAACAGAGAATGAAAAAATAACTCTAGACGTGCCATTCACGACAATAACTATGAATAGGTCCAAACATCCAATTAGGATGGAGAGTCTCAGACCCAGTTGGTTAAGTGATTGAGGAAGTGTCTATATTTATTGTCTGTAAGCCAGGTCCAGGTGCTAGAAATACAGCTATGAACAAAGTAAGCAAAACTCTTTTCTTAATTAAGATTAAGATTATACACAATGCTATCAAAGCCAACTGGATTTTTATATTGGACTAAAAACAAAAGATTTAAATATCAAGCCAAAACAAAAAAAACTAGAAATGGTAACAACAGACAAAAGAAAATTTGCAGTAAAAAGAATAAACAGAACAAGGTTTGGGGCGCCCAGGAGGCTCAGACTGTTAAGCGTCCAACTTTAACTCAGGTCATGATTTTGCAGTTTGTGAGTTCGAGCCCCACATGGGGCTCTCTGCTGTCAGAGCAGAGCCTGCTTCGGATCCTCTGTCCCCCTCTCTCTGTCCCTCCCCCACTCATACCTTTCCCCCTCTCTCTAAAAAATAAACATTTTTTTAAAAGAACAAAATTTGGGGCGCCTGGGTGGCGCAGTTGGTTAAGCGTCCGACTTCAGCCAGGTCACGATCTCGCGGTCCGGGAGTTCGAGCCCCGCGTCGGGCTCTGGGCTGATGGCTCAGAGCCTGGAGCCTGTTTCCGATTCTGTGTCTCCCTCTCTCTCTGCCCCTCCCCCGTTCATGCTCTGTCTCTCTCTGTCCCAAAAATAAATAAACGTTGAAAAAAAATTTTTAAAATAAATAAATAAAAGAACAAAATTTGCTTTATTGTGAAAAAAAATCACAATTTACAATGATTAATATTTATGCACTCAGGAACACAGCATCAAAATATATGAAGTAAAAATGACTAGAAACAAGAAAGGAACATGGTAACACTTGAATACCAGGAGCCCTTCGCAACCCGGCAGACAGTCCTTGAAGAGTCAAGTCACGAACGAGCCCCTGTCCAGATTACAACCCTAGTTCTGCCCCTTGTTTGCTGCCTGGCCTTAAGCCCCATTGCTTAACCATCGGCTTCAGGCTCCGAGAGGAATGGGGTTAGCAGAGGTGGTGATATTAGGGTACGTGACAGTGTCTCAGGGCCAGGTCTGGGCCATAATAAGTGCTCAGTAAACAGCCCCGGCAGCAGCCAAACTGCACACCCACATGCCGGGGCTGGATGGTGTTCCCGATGCAACCACATGAGATCTGAAAAGTCTTAACTCTACAAACACACACACAGACATACCAAATATATATGTATGTTTACATAGGTATCTGGTAAGTTTATAAATATATATACCCTTATTTGTTTTGAGAGAGACAGATCATGTGTACACGCGTGTGCACGCACACGTCAGGGAGAGAAGCAGAGGGGAGAGAAAATCCCAAGCAGGCTCCACGTTCAGCAACGAGCCCGACACGGGGCTGGATCTCACAACTCTGGGATTGTGACCTGAACCGAAATCAAGAGGCAGGTGCTCAAGGAACTGAGCCACTCAGGTGTCCCAATACAAATTGTACATCTTTTTTGTATGACTAGTTATTGCTACCTAAATTAGTTAAAATATCCTATTTTATCCTCTGTATACATACATATCCTTGCTTTTCAAATGCCGAAGAAAATTTATTGAAACTAACATACAATAAAATCCCAAAATATATAAATCATTTAGGTGTGTGTTATGAAAGTAGAAATTCTTAGCCAAAGTTTGTGTGAACACTTTTCTTGAGAGAGAAAGAGAGAGAGAGGGTCCAAGTGAACGAGGGGGCAGAGGGAAGACAGAGAATCCCATGAGGGGCAGAGAGAGAAGCAGGGCTCACCCCGGGCTCGTGCTCACCCGATGTGGGGTGTGAGCTCTCAAACTGTGAGATCATGACCTGAGCCAAAGTCAGAGGCTTAACGGCTGAACCTCCCAGGCGCCCCGTGTGAACACCTTTTAATTTAACGAGTTGCAAATTTTAAATAATACAAATATCTCTTGAGTTATAGGACATTACTTAGGAAGTGTTTACATAGGCAATAATAAAAATATTAGCCATAACAACATGCTAGATAGAACCAAATTGCAGACTCCAGTAAGTTTGTTAC